ACAATTCCGAGGGAATAACACGAGTACACGAGTACGAACAAGATCGTTTTCGATGACTTCATCCTCTGGCTAATACAGTTATATACATTTAGTGAATAAACGTGCAACAAATAATTTCTGGACGATAATGCGTTGATTGGACGGTATGGAAGTGTTGAGGAGTGGTTGGGAAAGACGTGAAAACAAAAATTATTAATCCGTGATTTAGAATAGGGGGAATCGTGAAAACAGCGAAAGGAGAGGGAGGGGAGGAGGGATGACGCAGGAAGGGCGAGGTCACACACTTAGATCAAGGAGTCACGAGAAGGGTCATGGGTGAATTAACATTCATGGGTCATGGGTCATGGGCACCTCGTAGATACCAGACATCGGATAACTGAAGATCCGTTCAAAATTATCTATAAGGTACCTCCAAACCCCTCTGACATCTCCATCTTGCGACGGCAGAGATGGTAACAATAGGCTATTGAGACCAACTCTATGCTCATAAAAACAATTTGCTAAAGCCCTACAGCTACCCTGGCCCAGACCCGACACTGAATGTTAATTCACCCATGACCCTTCTCGTGACTCCTTGATCTAAGTGTGTGACCTCGCCCTTCCTGCGTCATCCCTCCTCCCCTCCCTCTCCTTTCGCTGTTTTCACGATTCCCCCTATTCTAAATCACGGATTAATAATTTTTGTTTTCACGTCTTTCCCAACCACTCCTCAACACTTCCATACCGTCCAATCAACGCATTATCGTCCAGAAATTATTTGTTGCACGTTTATTCACTAAATGTATATAACTGTATTAGCCAGAGGATGAAGTCATCGTAAACGAGCTTGTTCACTATTCGTGTTGTTCTGTCAATGTCACGATGGGAATTTTCATTCAATTCCGAGAGAGTTGCTCTCATCAACAAATCTCTCACTTCTAATTCCTTTTTGAACAGGTCTGCCTGATCCACCGACAAATGTGCAACTGGAACCTGGTCCGCAAGATGGCATGCTCCTGGTTACATGGACCCCGGTCCCACAAGATAAAGGAGCAGCCGCAGCGGCTAGTGCAGCCGGAGCAAGTGGTACCCTGCCGGTTCAAGGTTATACCGTGTGCCTGAACGAGCGATCTCTGATGGAAGTGGATGGCGCGTCTAGTGAGTGCAATATACCGTGTCATCTGATGTAACACCTTTCATCTGACCCATGTAATATTAGGATTACTAAGATTTTAACCCTACACTCAATCAAGTTCCCAAGTGATTGTGTAATTATTCTGCACTAAGTTGGTTTCGAAGTGAATGGTTTCGTGTGTTTATCATTTATCCATTCAGTTTTGTATAAAAAGATGACATTTTCTTGTTATTTAGTCTCCTACTGCATCCTTTCGTAGTCTCTATATACGTGCACAATAGGCTCCTGAACTCAGCGGATCAAATTTTTGCCTAATTCTCCATCAGTCTGTTGGATGTGACTAAAATAATCTTCTATACCCGATCCATATGGTTCAGTGGTCTGAACTCGATGAGTCTACGGAACAATAGACAAGCAGTGATGTGTAAACTACAGTTAATTAATCAAGATTGCTTTAAGCTTCTTCAGACTGTAAGATGAATGCCGTATTTCCTAAACAAATTATCGTAATTCTGTGTGTATGTTGTCCACTTTTGCAACATTGTGGGACTCACAACTACCTGACGATAAGCCGAACTTTTTGCATAAAAGAATGAATGGATTTGGAATATTTCTAGTCGAGTAGATTGAGTCATTTTGGAAAGCCCCCAAGGTGTTTCATAATTTCAAGACTGCCCTGTCAAAAGCATGTGTACACATAAAGATAATTTAAATTCTCTCGCTCGTAAGGTACAAAATTGATACCATCGATGCACATCGAATGCTGATAGTAACCTACAACGCCGAAACCTCGCGGGACCCGTTCGGGATAAGTATGTTGTAAACTGTAATGATCTCACTAACTCTCAAAGCCGTGATGGTGAGGTCTTGTGGCATCCCATTTTTTGTTCAAAGCCTCTTGAGATTCGAATCATCCCGCTTCTTTATTCTTTTATCTAGGAAGTTACAAGTATATTTCGATATGAGTTAGATCCAGTAAGCAAGCTAATCGAGGGAGAGGGAGTAGATTCTTCGGTGCAGCGTAGACACCTGTCCGATTGGAGAGTGAATGTTTCTGGCAAATGTCGTCCTACACGACCCATGTTGATCATAAGACGAAGTAACTGGCTGTTTGGAGTTCTGCAATTTCTAGCCCCACTAACATTTTCAGTCAGAAGAATCTCATCCATTTTGTCTTTGGTTTTTCCTTGTCACCCCAATCGTACTCCCGCATAAAAGTTATCTTTCCTTTTACTACTTAGAGTTCAGTGTTCCCATTTTCGGGAATGTCGTTAATAACGCCTGATGACTTCAGTAGATCGATTTGACGATCAGCTAACGCCGAAATGCTGCTACCTACGTAATGAGAGTGCTCATATAATAGGATTAAATAGTAGTTTCACACCTCACAGCCCTGTACTGATTCCTCACAATTCCACTGGGGAGACGCAAATTTACTTTTGGTGAAAACATTCACCTCGTTTGTATATGAAATTTTAGATCAATGAATATCCAATGCAAAAAGCAATACCTCTAATATTCCCTCAGCTGATACAATCTTCTAGTGACTTAATAATGACAAATTGGCATCCCTGGTACATGGTTTAACCACTGGTTGTCAATCTCAAGCACGACATTACAGTTCATTCCTAATCATGTATCTGTTTTTGTACCTAGATGACCATGCAATTATTCCGCTCAAAGTGGTCAAAGAACATTTGGATCAAGTGTTTCTGGAAACTCAGTCTTCTGCGCCAAGCACCAATTTAGATCTTGCTTTAGATGAGGCTCTTAGCTCGGATTTGGGCACATTTGGTCATCCGGGTACAACAAGTGACTTGGCACAAACACTGCTAATCACAGTACACTCCACAGTCCCCTTGTCCGCTGTCAGTGAAGAAACTCAACACTTGGCTGTCAATTCGTGCGCCACGACTGCCGTCCTAAAAGGCTCCGCCGGTCCTGGGTCGCGGCAAATCTGCCTCACACCGGAAATTTTGGTAGCTGCCGGAGGCTCATTAGAAGCTACGGTACACGTTCTGGGCGTCAAGTTGGCACAACAATTGGGAATTGTGAGTTTAAATTAACCCAATTTTCCCTAAGAACCGATGCAAACTCGCATGGTTTGTTTTTTATGATTATAATAGAGTATAATGATACTTTTGCTTCAAAAAACAAACTCACTACTTCTCAAATAATGATGATCCTGTGTTTCAGATTGATGAAAACGGTATTTACGTTCATGGAGTTCCATTATTTTGCACCCACATTTATGCAATGAACCTCCTCCATACAGACAAAGATGTACGGGTTCTTGAAGGTAAAAACAAATACTCATGGAACAAATGTCATAGCACATGTCAAGTCTACTTTTCATCCTTGATATGGGAAGTCTAATTTGCTCGTTGGACTACTTTCATAAGTCCTAAAGCATTCCTGGAAAACAGCCGAGGTAAATCCCACTGGATACTGTTTCCCAATACCGTCCACACTTTAAGACCTGTGTTTAAACGGAATCTATTGTCTTTATTTTGAACAACGTCCAGCTGATTAGTCCAAGAGCAAAAGAGACAGACGTGATTGACTGTGGGAATATAAAAATATCAACCTATCGGTTTATAGGTCGGAATTGGAGACCTCGTCCGTGACCTTATTTTCCTCCGGACAGTCAATATCCGCATGTCATTCAATTTCCGGGCCTCAATTTCTTTTGGATACAAGTAATAGGGGTGATAAAAGTACGTATTCTGTAATCATTAATAATTTTCAGTTTATTAGTTCTCAAACCGGCTTCATTCACCATCGTACTGAGAGATCCACGGAAAAATACTAACGTCGCATCATCCAGGTCATTTCAACTCTTATCTCAGTTGACCAAAATTGCAAAATTGTATGTCCTTCTCTTACCCTCAGTGTACCACAGTCAGTAGCTCTTTTGTATTTTTTACCCCCACGTCAGCATTGTTTGTGCATCAACTTGTGTTTAATGTATCGCTTGGGACAGATCCTATGAAAATCACATTTTCCACAATCCACTTTTTTGTTAAGTAAATCTATCTGTTAAATGAACGATTTCATAAAACCTGGAACAGTAAAAATATAAGGTAAAAATTATCGAAGAGCACTTTAAATTTATTTCAACATCGGTGTGCTTCGTCAACCTTAGGAATACATTCACTAGATTAGGAATTGAATCCTCGATCTCAGAAGTGGAACACCAGCTGAGTACCGTGTTTCAATTTTCCTATACTAAATTCAGCACAACGCTTGTTCCGAGCATCTAATCCCGCTCAACTTAGCACCAGCCTGCAGGTTTAGAGAATAGTGATGAAATCCAACAGGTTCGAAACGGAATGAAGGAAACAATAGAACTTGGTGGTATTCTTGTATCATAGGCGAATATTATGATCCCTGTTAATTTGTGTGTAATTTATCCAGTGTGGCGGTTGGTCGGAATATAACCTGTTACGACTTCAAACGTTACATAGTAAAAATTTAAATGTAAACAGATGTCCAATGCCTAGAAGCTTCTCATTTTCGTTTTGTTTTGCTCTACATAAGAAACTTCCTCAAGTTCTTGACTAAATCCTCAGCTACTCCCTGGTAAAAAAACATCTCTGCATTGCAAACCTATAATTTGTCACGTGACACATTTAACTAGATTTGGTTACTTAGAATGATAAGCTAGTAAATCATTTTCTGAGTTGCTATTATAATTATTATTCGATTGAATTCTGCTTCCCTCATCACTAATTACTGAAGTGTGCATGACTGAATATCCCCGCTTCAGATCGGCGCAAAGAATGTGAACTGAAACGAGAGGGAATGACATCCACTTTTCGAATCATTGAGCGTTCAGGCCAGAAACATTGCCGGAAAGACTAATGGTCTAATCACATTAAAGCTGTGCCCCATTTAACTGTAAACAATATTTTCATGATTTCCGTTTCGCGGATTTCATTCATTTCGGGAGATATGCCTTACACTGTTCTTATAACTCAAAGGCATATAAGTCTTGTTTTAATAAAAATTCGATCGTAGAGTAGTAGCCGTAATAGTAGTAATAGTAGTAAATGAGTTAGACAACGATGCAATGTGCATGTGAATAGATTGTTTCTCACTCTGCTTGCCGTGGTTCTGATCGCAAAAGCCACGAACAAATTAGTAGTTTGGTCAAAATGGGAGATTAGTTTTGACGAAAGAAATATATCTCTTCGCATCTATTCATCCGAACGGTCAGTAGAGTCCATACCGTACTTTCCCAAATGTGTCCAGCGATCTAATTAACGATCACACACATATGTGATTTTGTCTAATGGCCGTATTCAACTTTAAAACAATCAATTAGCTAATTGTTTGCAGTGTTATTTATCCACACATCCGTCATCCGAATTGACCACTAAGATGGGTAAGACACTGTCGAGGAAAAACAAATATAGCATCACTGTGGACAGAATTATCGTTAAAACAGAGAAAAAACAAATAATGCGAAATATTAATATTTCTTTTATTTTCGTGAGTTGCTGCAACGTAAAATAATCCGGTATCTATACAATAGGATTTTTATAACTACAGTGGTTTAACGGACTATAGTCAAGGGAGGGAACAGAATCAGTCCCAATGTAATTTGACTGATTGCGTCAGAAACTTTTGTGAACACCAAAATGGATTACGTCACTTGATTAGCATTGCTTTGCTAAAAGTTAAGAGCCTGAGATTCGTGTTACGTAACAACGGCTTGAACGACGAAAGTGGGTTAACGATGCATCAAGTTGTCCTGAGATGTTTGGGAGTGATTACCCTGGATTTCTTTGATTAGTTTGACCTCCGAGATCCCGCTTTGTAATTGTTATAACCATTTGGGAATTGGTTCGGACATCCGTTGTAAAGAGGGGCCGATTATTTCGGTTAGTGTAAGTGTCACCGCAACTGCGGATGAAGGGATAGATGACATATGAAGCAGATTTGGACGGCTGGCTCTATTTTTGTTGGGCCAGACGAAGTCCTAATGTTTCAGTAATTATCTTTGTATCGCAAAACAAGGAACACTGTAGATTATTACGCATATTCTGTTTCATGAGAGAGCTAGAGAATTTGTTTCGTTTCTTATGATGATTGTGACGAGACACGAACGAGTCGAACAAGCTGTCCAGCGCATCCCAACTTTTCAGTTCCTGCTTCATTTACTCTGTACTCGACGAAATTCATCACATAACCAAATCAAATCTTTCACTACTCCGATGTACCAGGAAGGATCGTTTCCAACCGGGTCACAACCCAGGAGGATAGTGCTGAGATGCGCGGAGGGTGATGCGTATATTGAGCTTGCAAAAATATTTAGACTATTTTGTGCGTAAATAGAGTTTGTTAAAAATATTTGATCGGTCAATCGGTGGTCAAAAGGGTGATATGATCGAGTTCCACGTGCGTGGTCCAGGGTTCGATCCGAAGTTGGGTTAATGGGAACGCACTGCTGATGATATGATCGGGTCAAAAGAATGGTACACTGCCCCCTAGATTTTCACAACTCGCTTGCTTCATACACCACGAAATTCATCATATATTCTATTTCCTCTCTTAAACCAAACACTGCACTTGTTTTGTTCTGGGATCAACCCCCAGGAAAAGTCCGCAATGATCTATGACTTCAAACTTCTCAATGAATGGCATATTTTAAGTATTTTCGTGTACGCGGTTGTCATACACACAAGAGCACCACTAAATTTCACGAGAGAACTTCCCGAGGTTTGGCATTGTTCCAACATCCCAGTGAACAGGATAGGGGTACAAAATGCGGCGAAGGGCGGTCGCGTCTTGACCCGAAAACAGATCAGGGAACTCCAATTTAGACGAAAGAACAAGCCCCATTCGTGCAAGTGAAATGATCAGAGGGTTTGAGGTCACTGGGAGAGAAACGGATCAACAAACCATGCCAAAGCAAAAGTTAAGTAATTAAACGGACAGAAGTGGAACATCGCCATTGCACAAGAACGAAATGTTTCACCTCGACTGATAATATTTACAAAAAATGACTAGCTGAGTCACTGGGCGAAAATGAATGTGGTAAACACGTTCGTGAAATGGTCGGCTAATAGTGCTCATTTTGAGCGTCCATGGAATCAAACAAATAAATAACCACTCGATCGACAATCATAAAGTCAATGACGCTAACTTGCCTCTTGTTAGCCTGTTCCTCAATATTTGATTCGTCTGGGGATTCACATGCATTTTTNTTTTGTTCTCGGTAAAACGCTTGTTCTCCGTTCTGGCAAAGGCTGTTCAGTATGATCGGACGATGAAAGCTCGAGCGCAATAGATGTTCAGGGTTCATTTGATTATTTGACCATTCGGATTCATTCGTTTATATGCTGTTTAATTAGACCCATTCATTTAGGTCTTAGTCGAATCTATATTGTCCATCAGATGCGTATTTCCGAAACAGATACTCATAGAAATTCCCTTTTCACTTCTCAGGACGAATTAGCGGCACGACGAGCTGGTGTGCCATTAATCAGCACCGCCGCGGAAGTTCGAAGTCCATCGCCAACCACCCAAAATACGAGCAACCCAGCCACTTCCGTATCCGGCACGGGGACTGTGGGACCTGAGCAGGGGTTGATCACCGTATCGGCTGATACTATGCGAAAACGCAGTCCAACGACAGACGCTATCGGTTCAGCTGAGGTACGACCACCCTGTTACAATATTTTCTAACTCCTCATATCATCTGATGTTCACTTCCGCTGTTTGTCTGTGTTTGTTTCTCTTTTCAACGCTAATCATTTGTGGTCTGGGGTTGTCAGTTGGGTTTCAACTTGAATCACAGTGGCTAACAGAATTTGGTCTCAGTAAAGTTCAGAATTTGCTCATTTATTGAATTTCATTATCGCGTGATGTGAAACAGTGAGTGGATCAGTGGAGTAGAATATTGACACAGAGTATTCTGAATGTGTTTGGTAAAGAAGGAGCCTTTTAGTTTCAAGAAATGAATCATGTTCGATCAGTTCGCGATGTTATTAATGCCTTCGAGTGTTCTTCTCAAGTGTAGAGAGATTGAAAAGGCTGCGGCTATAGGTAATAGTCGCAATCTTTTCCGTCTAATTAGGAATACGGGCCCTAGGGAAATAGACGATAATTAAGGAATCCGATGCACACTG